CAGCCGGTAAATGAAGTGTGTAATGATGGACACTTCACGCACTCAACGACCGCAGGTTTGCCTACGTAGCGGAAGAGGCGGAGCTATCGGACGCACATGTTGGATAACTTTACTTAATTTGGATGTTGAAAGCAAAATTTTCCTACGAGAGTGATTATAGCGCCTCCCGATGGTGAATGCGATAATACTCACAGCAGGTATTATTTGATAATTCGGTCGTTATTTTTGATTTGGCGACCGTCAAACATCATCAGGGAAACGGTTTGAATTTCCGCTTAGTAAAAAAACCATTAGTGTGCCATTTGGGATGACACTACATACATGTACTATCCTGTTGAGTGTGTAAGTGCATAAGTACATAGTGCATGAGTGCATGGATAGTGTGCCATTTGGGACGCAGCTTCTGCCTCTTTTCCTGCTCTGCTCCCTTCCTGCTCTAAAGTCTATCTTCTCTGAGGGTGCTTCCACAATTGGTTCAATTGTCTGGACCGTTCCCAAGTTTGATTGTCCCCCCTTGCCACTTCCTCAGTTGAATATCGAGCTGCTGTTTTGATTATGACTGTTAGGTTGCTAGGTTATGATCACAAAAGCGCTGAAATGCAAAGACCTCCGCTCATCCATACAGGAAGCGACTCGCATCCATCTGGCGCAGAAATATTATAAACATTCAGAACATCATTCGATGTCTGCAGAAGCTGTTTTTGGAGAAGACAAGCAGACATCACTGTGTATCACCGCGTATGCCCTGGCTCAGTCTCGCGTGTCACCAAGGTACAAAACATGACACACACATACACGAACGTTATGAAAACGATAGTTTGTTGTACAGTTGGCGGTTCATCTTTGCACTTGCAGTTTTGCGCTACGTCACTGATTTTGATCCTGCCCCAAAAATCCTTTTAAACCCAGAAGCTAAATTTAGCGGACGAAAGCTCAATATTATCTAGTTTACCTCACAATTAAAGCTAACAGGTGCTAACATTGTCTTAACTGATGCTCAACACACACTAATCTGTTAACATCTCAAGCAAAAGTACTCGAGGCTTTCGTGAACCTTTAAGACATGTGAAAGTCAATGTTGGAGAGAGGCTGTTTGTTCAGGTTTGAGCTGCATTTTTACCAGCGTTGTTAGCAATGTTGTGTGAATTGATGGAATTGTAAATGTTGAAAAGTTCAGATAGATTTGAGTCCATTATGCCATTCCTTCTGGAAGGGACTTCAGTGGTAAAACATTTCACTTTCAGCATGATGATGATCTACTTCGATTTCAGTAAAATCCTATTTGGAGAACGAAAACAGCTGATGAAACACAGACAGTCATGAAATGGCCTCCACAGGGTCCAGACCTGAATATTATAGAGACTGTATGAGATCACTTGGACAGAAAAAAAAATGAGACACTCTAAACTTAAAGAGGAACTCTGGAAAGTGCTAAAAGAAGGCTGATGTTAAACAGGATTTCAGAAAATGTCAGGACAATTAGAACAAAACAGTTCAAGCTGTGCTTGATGACAAGTGAAGCCACATTAAACATAGACTTTTGCCTGAAAAGGAAACGTGCTGTTGTTGTTGTTTTGTAGATGTTTCCTATATTATCTTTGGTTTTACTAAAGAGACTGAATGATGATGTATTGTGCAAAATTTTAAAGCATCTAAATAAAAACGAAATAAAAAATTATTAATAACCTTGATTTACCTTTACGTATGTGAAGACATCCTCAATGATAGACTACAAAAACTCGGCAGGTTCCGTGTGGGCCTACAGATGAATAACACTGTGTTTTTGTTTCTGCAGGTCTGCTCATCGGGTCAGGATGTGCTCTGTATCCTCTGGGCTGGGACAGCGAGGAGGTTCGGCAGACGTGTAACAACAGCTCAGATCAGTTTGAACTCGGTACGTCCTCATGTCACCTTCACTCCGAAGTTTATATGCATATGTCAACATCCACATTATTATTTACGCAGTGACAGAACTCATCAAATTATGCCCAGCAGTTGACCTTGCTCAAAAAGATCTCTCGAGGACAAGTTTTTCACTTATTCAAAATATGTATTTACTGTATTGCTGAAATATTACATTTGATAACACTTTAGTTTAAGTGACAATTCACACCATTAACTACTGAACAATTACCTGCCTATTGTTAATATGTTCAATGTTTATAAGCACTTATTAAGTATAAATTTATTTTACATGTTCAGTCCTACCCAATACCCAAACCTAAACCCAACTAACACCTTACTAACTATTAATAAGAGCTAATTGGTAGTTTATTGAGCTAATAGTCTTAGTTAGGGATTTGCTATAGTGTGAATTGCCTATTTAAACCATATATATATATATATAGGGCGAGGCAGTGGGGCAGTAGGTAGTGCTGTCGCCTCACAGCAAGAAGGTCGCTGAGTCGAACCTCAGCTCAGTTGGCGTTTCTGTGTGGAGTTTGCATGTTTGCAGGTTTCCCCCACAGTCCAAAGACATGCAGTACAGGTGAATTGGGTTGGCTAAATTGTCCGTAGTGTATGAGTGTGTGTGTGTGTGAATGTGTGTGTGGATGTTTCCCAGAGATGGGTTGCGGCTGGAAGAGCATCCATTGCGAAAAAACTTCATTCCTCTGTGGCGACCCCGGATAAATAAAGGGACTAAGCCAACAATATATATATATATATATATATATATATATATATATATATAT